TTAATGGGCTTCCACTGGGGTTTGTTTGAACTAGTTTGCCTTTCAGTGCTTTCCTTCAAGACCACCACCATTTGGGTGTCACGACAGCAAAGGCAGACCTCCAAAGCACTGCGATTTACTTGCAATTCCTATGTGAGGTCTGCATTCCTCCCAGTCGATTGCATGCATGGCAGTACAATTTGCACACTGTACAGTTTCTTATCATCTTACAATTGCTTTCTTGTTTATTTAAAATCAGATCTAGTTTCTCTCATATACTTACATTTCCAATTTTTAATACCATGTCTGTTTGTAACATCATTTAGGAAACTTTCAAATGCTTCCCTTTGTCTTACCCCAAAGCTCTCATTCCTTGCAAAATAAAATCCTTTCCTTTTAGTAACTTGGCTTGAAGTTTCTGTTAGCTACAACGAGGTTACACAGTGTTCAACATGTGTGCCACCTGAGGCTGCAGAGCCTCTTCTGGGAAAATTTAAAGGATTGCAAGTGCTCTTCTCTAGTTCTTTGCGGAGCTCCCTGGCTAGACTGAGAGATTTAAAGGGTTTCTTTGCTTCTGTTTCTTCAGTGATTTATTCCATGGTGCCAGAAGTAAACATGGTACAGTCAGGAGGGGTGGTCAGAAATGGCTGGTTATTTTCTGGCTTCACTCACCTTACATGGAGTGGGTTACACACAAAATTTTACCTCTGACACACAACTAAAGCTATAGACTTCCACACTTCCCGTTTCAGGCAATACCATGCTGTAAATTAGAATGACCCACTGCAAACTTAGGTCCACTGGAGATCTCTGCAGAGCATTTCTGCCTGTATTTTTGGTTGTTTTGGGTTTTTTTTTCAGGGAAACCTTTGCGATTTTGTCTTTTTGGAAGAAAGATTTGTTGTATAAATGCTATGACAGATTGTTATAAAATTTACTGCTAGGGTTTTCATCTATTGCTTACCAAAAAAAAAGGACAAAAAAGCAATTTCCAAAACTAAAAATAACTGCACACAAAGTCAAATTGTTAGTGTCAATAGTAGGGGCACACGCCTCGGGTTGCAATGAAAGGCAATGTAATATTCTTTTCAATGAGACTGACAGAGTCACCGCGACTGGCAAACGATGCACTTCTTGCAAAACAATGTTCCAAGAGCCTATGACAGGATAAAAGTCTCTTCTAGGTTTCACTAAAAGTCAAGGTTTGCAGGTGGGTAGACAAAAACCCATGAGATTACAGTTGTGCTATCTCACTCTGCATTTTCAGAAAAAGTTTTTAATTGTTGCCTTTCATTATCTTTTCTCTTCAATGGAAAGCAACATTTTAAACAGGTTATGTCTAATTCAGAATAGAAAATGCCAATTCCATGATTATACCAGCTCAGATTTTTGTATTTGTACGGCATTAAGAGATTTGATTGCTTTCAAACTTTTGAAATGCAATGAGGTACTTCAGTCAAAATGCAAATAAAATGCTTCAAATTATTACGATGTAGGCTATTATAAAGCTTAAAAAATATAGTATCAAGACAAGGAAAACAAACTGTGTTAATACTTACAGGCAAAATGTCTTTATGGTGTAGGAGGTTTTAGAGAAATACGCCTTTAAGTATTTCCAGAGTCCCTGTATTGCCTCCTGCAGTGAAACACGCTGTGTCCTTGCCCTGCATTGTGAGTGCCTTCTTACAGTCCGTGTATAAATACAAACACTCTGAAATATGACCCACAAGGAAATTCCTGTTTCTGCCATGGGAAGAAAATTAAAGACTGTTCTGAAAGGGGAAATCCAGAAGATTAATATTCACGTACAAGCAATGAAAAAAAATGCACATTTGAGCGAGCCATAAATGTCTCCCATGCAGAAAAAAGCTTGGAGACAGCTTGTTTTTGTTGGTTCAGCTTTCTAAACAGTCCTTTCATTTCCCCTGAGCTGTATCTAAAATATAACAGCATTTACTAAAGCACACAATGGTGAAGCGGGATTTCTTACACTACCTATGCAATAACAATGTACTTTCATTGTATGGTCCATGTCTGTCTTGGTTATACATGAATTTTTTTGATTCTCTCCGGAAACATCCAGCATATCATGAATTTTACATACTAAACCATTCAGCTAATCCTGCAGATGGCAAGGGAACTGCTTTTAGAGAGAAAATAGTTATAAATTTGATCAGCAAATAAGCTAAAATGCCCTACAGCTTATAAGTCACTATTCAGCTACCTGGCCTTGCTCAAGTGAAAGGGTTAGGCTTCCTTATTCTGAATGGGTTCCTTCAGGCTCTTGGGCTGAAGCATGTAAACATCACCAGTCAGATGTGATGTCTGTCAGTGGGATATTTTCTTCTTAAGTATTATTTAATGGTTTTTGGACATGATCTGAAGTAATGCTCCATCTAGCAGAGGCACTGGTCCCAATGTAAGGGAATGTTTTTCTCTCACTACTACTCTAAGTTATCTTTCCAAGTTGCTTTCCTCTCCAGCAGTGTCCTCAGCTATTTTATCCTGATCTTTTTATATTTCATATACCAGAACTAGCCCAAAGGTTGTTTAAGATTCAGCTTCAACTTCTTCCTTCCATTGTCAGTCAGCAGGTAGAATTGCTGTGCTCCTTTGTGCCACACTATCTATCATCTTTTTCCAGGAAACCTTTGGTCTACCAGGAGACCTCTTGGTGGCTTGCCACATTAGAGCACTGAAGAGCTTCAAATAACATTACTACCTTGCCTTTTTCCCTAGACAGACAGCTATGATTTCACCTATTAGTTGGAAATTCCCAAGCTGTCCTTATTTAGTGTCTGTCATGGTAAATGTACAACAAAATCTAAGACCTGCTCTGTCCACTTTTTTTTATTATTTTAGACATGATGTCCAATAGGTCAAATAGCTTTTCCTATTCATAGAGGAAATTCACTACTATTAACTCCTCTGATTCTTTCTCAGCAGTTCCTTGTAGGCTGGACCAGGGACTATTTCTAGTAATTTTTATATTTTCCTACTGCTTCTAAGCTAAGATAAATTTGCTATAGATTTTTTAAAAATAAAATATCATTGTCAAAGAACAATGTGCTTTAAGAAAAAAGCACTACACAAGAGGAAACGTGCTCCTTACCTGTTAGGCTGTTACATACCTTGGCATTATTTTAAAAACTTAAATGACCTGTTTCAGAGCCCCTACTTGTTCCTTTATGGTTCCCACGGTTCTCTGGCTTCAGAGTTACAATATATCTGAACAAAAGGATAGTTTTGGAGACAGGGGAATATTATTAACAGAAATTTAAAAATAAGCTAAACCTTAAGCAAATACACACTAATGAACTATAAAGACATGAAAGAGCTTCCAGACAAGAAACAAACACTGAAATGTTGACTGGAGACATTTCTCATAGTAAACCAGGAATATCTCTATGCCAGAAAATAGTTTAAAAGGGAGCTATTTGCCAGAAGTAATAGGAAGAACATATTTATATGAACTGCTAGGCCACTGTACTGTTTACTGTATAAAGACATTTTATACACAGGGCAAGATTAAGCGCTGGTAGATCAGGATATTTCCATTAAAATATATTCAATAATTTTGGTTTACTCTAAGAGAGGATGTGGCCTACCTAACCCAAGTCACCCAATGCTAGCTTACTTTTCTAAACTACTTTTCAACCAACACTGTAAACGTCATCTTGAAAAGATGCCGAAGACCAACTGCATTCTTGGGGATGTATTTTGGTTAGTTTTCACTATACCAGATTGACTGACAAACATACAGATATTCATAGGACATTTTTTAAAAAGGTCTTTATTGATCTTATGCTTAAGACATCCATAAAACAATCATTTATTTAATTAAAATAACTGTAAATTTGACTTATGAAAAAAAATATATGCCTCACTATGTCACAGTATTTGTAAGAAAATAAACTTAATAATTTGGTAACTTGGCTTTAATACTATGCACTTACTTTCTTAGATTTCAGAACAGTAGAGTACATTAACTGGGAAAAGGGTGAATAACTAATCATTTATCAGTTTAACCAAATCATTAAAATTACTTTCTTGAGCTAGCTACCAACTTTAAAGAGAATATAAAAAGTAGGAATATACACATCACCAACGTAATTCCAAAATACAAAATCAAGACCGTACAGTAACTAAAAAGGCACTTCTGGTTTCTGATTCTAGTAAGCATTTCCAGTCTTGGCAAAATTCCTCACAATCAGAAGCTGTATCTAAACATACATTTGTTACTGGAACACATAATTCTATAATTTCAACATGAAATTTTAATGTTTTATAACAAAGCCTTGGCATTAAATTTCCGTTGGGTCAAAACTTCTATCAACAAGCAGACATTTTTATTTCTGCAAGCAGAAAAACTGCAATACTACTGTTTCAGGCTGTTCTATTAATTGTCATTTGCAAGGCAAAAATCTTTACAATGGCGCTTTAATAAGGCATCATCCAATCAGTTTGCTAATCTTTTACAAAGATTTTGATTTTTCTATTTGTTACATTTCCATACTACTCAGGTAAATCATCTGCAAATATTGATTTTTTTATTTATCCATCTTATGCTAGAGTGATAACTAAGTAAACTGACTTCCAGATTAAGCATAGAACAACCATTAGTCTTCATTAATAATGTTCATAAAAGGAAATGAATATATTGGACTAAGAAACACCTTTTTAACTAGCTACAGACTGTTTCATCAGTGGACATACCCATAATATGATGGTCTGGAAATTTCTGAGGAAGTTATGGTTCCATGAGCTAGCAGTGAAAGAAAAGATGGAGTCTCACAATTTAATTTTTTTTGTTCTTAATTTACAATCTGTTTTCCGGAATAAACCTTTATGGGTTAGGTAGCTGACTCTCAGAACATCTTCAGTAGCCATAAATGATGACAGCCAGACTAAGGGAAACCAAGATACAGTAATTAGTATTAGCTGTCAGGTTGGCCCACAGCATTTATTTCTTCTTTAAAATATTGCATATTGTCCATCCATCAGATACCCCAGCTTATACAATATAAAAATCTAGTGTAATTACATTCCTGTTATTAAAAATGTGTTACTCCAGTTTATAATCAAATCTTCATCCAAAACCATATCCTGATCTTTCATCACTGGCTGCATTAAAATACACTTTCAGAAGTAAAGTTCCTTAGTGAGCATAGAGACCACGCAGGGAATCTGCTTCTTCTCACTGAAGCGTGGATCATCAGACTGTGATTCAAAATTTGTGGCAACCACATAGTTGACCCGTGTGAGGATCTGCATGATCTCAAGTTGTTTTCCATGCTCATTTAGCACAGAGCACAGAGACTGCACAAACCAGGAGCCTCTTCCAGGATTCCTCCAGGAGTAATAACCTTACAGGAAAGACGGATAGGAAAGTACATGGGGTTATTTTTCCTCTTTTTTCTTATTATCTTGTGGTGAAGAATGGAATGGCAGAGAGAGATTTGTGGAAGATTCTGGTCAAAGAGTAACAACACACACACAGAAAGTTTAATTCTTATAGTGTGTGTCACAGGTCCTTCTTCATTAAAGTGGAGAATAATGTGTATTAACTCTCCAAACTTCATACTACTAAAGTAGCATTCTATATTTTTGCATTTGGGAAACTGCAAGAAGTAAGATTTCATGTTTTTCCTCTCGAAGAATAAGTTACGTGCTGTAACTGTTCCTCCTCCTGCCTTCATCACATATTCAGCCTACTCACTAAACTGGGACATGGAAGGGCAGGATTCCCAGAAAATAGTACTGCCTTCACCAACTGCAATGTCTGTGTCTTCTCATCTGCCAAATCTGGGCTCTCTCCTGTTCCCGCTACAGCTAGTGTAAAAGAGGTGGATACAACACACTGGCCCAACATACGCTGGGCCTTAGTGTTTTGTCCATCAATGTATAATGCATCACCAATAAGGGTCAGTCTACAACCAAGTCAATATAGGTGATAAGGTTTTAGGCTTCTATCCTTTCCCTGATCCCATTTTCTTTACCTGGCACTGTGGAATATGCAAACAGAAAATCTGCTTCTACTGGGATTTTGTATCTCGGATTGGCATCTGTTTCCAGAGTGTCATTTGCAGGTCCAGAGTCAGTTTGTATACCTTCATCGAATTCAGAGCCTCTGCATGCCTGAAAGTCATGAAGACAAAGAACTTGTCCAATAAGGAGAAATAAGGTGTTATAAAAATAAGTATTCATTAACATTTTTTAATGGATAGAGTTTTAAGCAGTACTTTGCATGTATTAGAAGCAGAAATGCAATTCTGGGGGACAGCTAATTGGTCAGTGGTAAAGTTACTAGTTTACCCATTTTAAAATATACAGCCTGTACAGTGAAGGGAGGTAATTGTGTTGCAGGCTGTGGATCTCAGTGGATTGTCAAAGCGCCAAGTCAGCATTAGCTTTACCCGTTATTTATTTTAGTAATCTAGAGTCATCCTCAGCACTCAATGATTACACCACGTCTTGTGCAGCATGACTTCTAGACATTTTCTTTTCAGTGGACTACACATTGTCTTTGGTTCCTGACATGCACAGCTGCAGCATTACATTTCACAGAACAACAAAATCACATCCCGAGATCATCTAGTCCAATTCCCCTTCTCAAGCAGGGACAGCTACAGCAGACATTCAGGACCGTGTCCAGTTGGGTTTGGAATGTCTCCACAGAGGGAGACTCTACAATCTGGGCAACGTGTTCCAGTGTTTGACCACCCATTTCAAGTATATTGCATTTTTACCATTTTTTCATTTCTCTCTTTTATTCTTAATTTCCTCTTAATCATGTGGTTTTGCTAAAGGGCACACTGGGACCACAGTTCAGGTTTGTAGGCTTCAGCTCTTGATGAGCAGCTTTGACTGACAGCTCTTGCAAAAAAAAAAAAAGGCAGTCTGATGGGCTTATATAACATGAGTTGGTTGCCTTTATTAAGATAATTTTAAAGGCAACAAAATACCCATTCCAAACTTATAATTAAGAAACATCACTTCAGTAGTATGAAGAGTCTAAAACAGACAGAGTTTTCACTTTGACGTTGAGGATTAATTGGTGGAACAGCCTAGGGAAAACCACATCTGCTGCAACTCCCATATGTACACAATACTATGATAAAAAAGATAATTCAGACCCATGGTATGTCAGTTAATACTGTTTGAAACAGCTGTCTTTAAAAGCTTAAGTAATATACAATTAATTATATGCTAAAGTGATAATGCAATATAATTTTTTAGGCTAGTGAGGGAGAGAAAAAATATTTCTTTTAGCAGAATGCAGTAATTTGTAGACACAGCCTTTATTCAAAGTGACCTAGACACTATTATTTCTATTGATAATCATGTACTGCCCTCAGCTTTGTCTGCACAAGGGGGAGTTTATCTTTCTGCTTGGAAGTTCATATATTACCAAGCACAAAGAGAAACCATGTACAAAATTACAATGACAGTATGTTCTTTACATCTGTGAACCTTGTATATAAATTATCTTTTAAAAACCAAGCCACTCATAGTCAACTTCTCTCAACATATTTTTTCACAAAACCTCCAGCAAAATTCAGTAAGTTAACCTACAGGGCTCTTCTAGAGCAGACAACCAACACACCATGTTTTCTCCACTGCAGCAGTAGGATACTATATTTACCTTAGGGCTATTACCTGAATGAAAAATAATTTGGGTTTGCCTACAAGGCTTTTACACTTGTCTCCTCTGAATAGCGCAGTCAGACTCTTGATGGCCATGGGTCCATCAGTGCCATAGATGAGGCCTTCTTCCCCATGGCTTAGAAGGATACAGGCAAAACAAGCGGCATCACTGTGATTCTCCTCAGCAGCTACAAATCAAATAAAAGGAAGCAATATTTTAAATGAAATTTAGCAAACACATTTTTCTGAGACTAAATATACATTGGGTCTCTGCTGGAAGGCATAAGAAGGAGTGGATAAAGATAATAAAACCCACTTTTTAGTAATGCAATAAGTACCTTGAATACAAGAATGAATCACCAGAGTCCACAGGGTGGACTCTTTATCTTAACATGACAAGGCTCTTCACCTAATACATTGGACAGGCGCTTTGCCCAATATGACAAGAAAACTGTGTATTTCTGAATGGATGTTGGAGGAAGAGGTGGGGAATTAAGCCTAATCCATTAAGAAACTGAATCCTTCTATATAGAAAATTGCATGTAGTTGGGCCTAAGCAATCTGTTCTAATTTGAACTGCTTTGAGCTGGGGGTAGATCCGGTGACTTTCACAGGTCTTTTCCACTCTAAATTATTTTATGATTTTTACCTTGCTTCAGTAATTTTTCCATATCATCACGGCTTCGGTCATTGTATGTGTAAACCTCAAACCCTAAGTTTCTAAAACTCTTAGCTAGATCTCCAGCATCTTTATCAGTGCCGTTGCGTGTACCCATTCCTGTCAGAAAACAAAGAATATGGTTGATCGCACATTACACAATTCAAAATAATTCACGCGTTCAAAGGTAAATTTTTAGGTTTATAATTAATAAACATAAACAATGTCATGGTCACATGATTTTAAAACAATCCCCTAATAGCATTCTCAGCGTTGAGAACAAATTGTGAGATTTATTTTAATACGAAATAATGCCAGGTTAATAATAATATTAACACGCATCTTATCCTGAAAAAAGTTGGCATGCCTCTGGCACCTTGCAACATAGGACCTCTATGGATGATTCTATCTCCTTTTGGTTACACAGTGCAACATATGCATAAAGCACCCCAAGGAAAAACTGTTGAAAAGAGTCCCTGTGATACCCACATAAAAGAAACTGATGTAAATTCTTTGGAGTAAACACTTCATTTAGTGTGTCTGCCAGGTGTATAGGAAAAGACCTATAAAGTTGACTATAACACAAGTATCTGTCTGCTTTGAAACCGTACATGGTCTGAAAAATTAAATGCAGGAGTGTGAACAGAGCACAGCTACATCTATTAGCTTTTGTGGCTCATAGCTGCAGCTCAGGGACAGAGAAGTTATAACATGGGCTGCAGATGCCAAAGTTCTAATTTTAACAACACAGCTTTAAACTCTGGGACAAAGATTTAGTTTGAAGTTGGCAGAGCAAGGTGACATGCTCTTTGAAAGATACACTGCAAAGAAACTGCAAAGAGCCGCTCTAATGTAAGTGCTAAAGAACAGGAATAAATTGTAGGAACAGCTATTTCTCAAAAAAGGTAAATATAGTCATTAAAATTCTATGTCCTAAAAATGAAATGTTTATTGATTAATGAAAGTATAAAAATTGTAAAGTCTCTAATGAGTATCATCAAAGGAAGAACATTACCTGTTTTGTCTTCAAAATTTTTGTTGTTTATAATAATACATTTGCCAACTTTCTTGTAGTCCATATTATACTGGAATGTGGGTGTAACAATTCGGTACTGATTACTGAGAGAGGACTTTGGCTGTTCTTCTTCTCCATTTTTCTTTTTTCTAGGTGAACCAGATGAAATTATTGTTAGTGGCCAGTCACATGCATTGTGCCTATTTATCTTAATTCAAACAATTCGGGCAGCCCTACCCAATGTTTTTTCTTCTCTAATGTTTGTTTTCTTCCTTCATATTTCAGATCGAGGCATCAAGATCTCGTGATTTCCATGAAGTGATTATTGTATGCAGTTGGATTCTGATGATGGTAAAATGACTCTAGAATGAATAGCAGCCAACAGTAGTATACACAGATCCTGACCCACAGATAAAACAAATGGCCTTAACATGAAGTCAGGCTGGCAGTAACCTTTTGCAAACTATGGTTCTAGACTTATTTTACTCTTACTATAAATAATTCATGGAAGGACATACAGATCTCCCTTAATAACTATTCCAAGCACAAGAAGATAGGCAGTTTACCCAATGGCATGATAGGATTTTTTATTGAATCATCATCATCCTCAAATTCTCTGAAGATTAAGTCCAAGCAGTAGGTATTTTCTACTGATAAAGGTTATAGATGTGAACAGGTCATGTGTTAATTTGGTCTGCAAAACAGCAGTCTGAACCTATGCAAAAAACTAAGCACATTTTAGTGTAATCATCAATACCTGAACCTCACTTCAAACAACCAAAACAAATCAAAACGAGATATAAATGTTCTCTGTTAATATGACTATGTACTGACCTTTCCGCTATGTGCAGGAGTCTTAGATTGGATCAGAAAAAGATGCAAAGGGATAGCACAGACATTACTCACTAATTTATTCTAAATGAAGTATTAAGAACAAATCAATTACAGCTAGCATGCACATCTGAAGTATAACCATAGGGAACGCAGCAGTACTTGCTTTCAGAGGTAGAATTTTTGGTCCAAGCAAGTGGCTTCAGATGTTGGTAAGATCTTCTCAAGCAGAACTGAAGCCAGTGAGAGCCTATCAAAGGTCTGATTCAACCTCAGAACTATAAACAAGCTTTGGAGCAAGCCCAGTTAGAGACAATGCTCAGGAAAGGCAGAAGTTATCAGCACGTCTCTTATTTGGTCCAGCATTCTGGTTCCAATAGTATTTATTGCTGATGTCTGAGAGGAAACATAACCTACTTTTGCAGCACAAATAGCTGTATAATACAGTTTATTTTTAACAAAATTAGATTTTTCCCATAATCTCAATTAATTTAAGTACTTTCACTATTCTCACTCTGACATCTTTCTAAAGAATTACTTCAATAATAGCCTGTAGACATGAGATCGCTACGAATTGATTAAATGTTGTTTAGGTAATCTACTTTCTTACCTTCCTGATTTAACAATTGTTATCTTTTAGCTTTAAGTGTTCTCTTCTTTATTACTAAAGGACAAGACTAATTGGAAACTATAACAAACCTTCTCTAGCTGATTCATTGTGTTTAAATGCTACTGCAATTCAGTTTTAAAACAGCTGCTTATCTCTGAGTGTCCTCATCTTCTGTTACAAAGGGCCAAATTAAATAGCTGCACCTGGCAGGCTTTCTCTGTACTCTTTTTACATGTAACCATCCTAAATAATTTCCTCTCTTAGACTTCTCTTACAGACTACAAAACAAGATACTGAATCATACCTAATTGAGGATTTTGTCTGATACTCTGGAAGTACATTTTTTTCTGACAAATCACAAATATTGGTGTTCTCCCTGCATACTGCTTCTTGAGGGGTCTGGAAGCAATAATTAAATATGCTTTGCCTCAAGAAAAGATTTTAACCACTTTAAGGAATTAACCACAGCTGTATGATGTTAATACTACATTTGACTTTCAAAGAGATCTTCGATTCTTATTTTAGCCTAAAATTCCCCCTGGTCCTACATCACTAGACAGCTCTCCAGCAAAGACAGAAAAAGAAATTTCAGAACAACAAATAACCACTCAGGCTGATGAAGAGGCTAATTTCCTCAGTCCACACTGGATTGAAGTTTCTACAGATTTATCTGGCTTCACTGACTTCCTGAAAGAGCTGTACAACTAACAGCAGCAGTTACATGCAATAGGATATTTTCAAGGGTATTGTACACAAATTTCATTTATGTCTAACCCATGAACAGTGGTGAACACTCAGAACAGATCCACATGAGCAGTATGGTATCACGTTTGCACTGTCAGATCACTTCCAGCATTCTAGGAGAGCAAACTCTAGTCCAGGAGTCATGCAGCCACATTACCCCACAAAAAGCCTTGCTGAAAATAGCTGTTGGGGTTAAGTGGCATAATAACTTAACCACACAACTTCTCTGGAACCACTTCACTTCCGAGTTCAATAGTTTGCACTCATTCATGCAGAAACGCTTGGGAGTTTAAGGGATGTAGCTACTACTGCTGGTATTACCAAAAGTACACCAGAGGCTCTATGCCAGTCGATGTCAAATGTCCCAGACAAGCCTCATCAGCACAGTAGCACACATAACTCTATCGTTTCCCCATTCCTTTATAGAAGATAGTATGGTTTTGTTCTAATGATTCCTTCCAAGCTGAACAGACTAACAAGATACTAAGCAACCACAGCATGCTTTGTAGGGTTACGCCTATCATTTCTTTACTGGCAGACAACAAAAAGTTCCAGAAATCTTTTGGTATCTGTCCAAACTGAATGAATGAGGAAACAAAGGTTGTGGAGTATACATATCCTGGGCCTGCAGTCCAGACAGGAATTGTTTTTTGAAGATTCTGTTTTCTGTGTCAACACAGTGCAATATGGGAATTGCCTGACTGGACTAAACTGACAGTATAAGGTCCAACTCTTCAGTTTCAACAAGCTAAATCATACCTTGTAATAATGACTAATAAAGTAATAAATATGTAATAAACAGTCCTTAAGGGAAATGCCCTGTCAGTGATAGGCTGGCTTATAAGTGAAAGCCTAAAGCTTTCCAGCTAAATTTTTATTTTCTAAGCTTTGAACTGGACACATGTTAATATGAACATTTACTGCTGTTATTCTTACTAAGCTTTCTAATCACCGTATTTTCCGAAAGGGTTTCCATGGGTTAGTTATGTGCTGTTATAAAATGCTTTAAACTACTTGCCCTCAGTTTTATCTTATACTGTTTCTCTGACATCCAGAGTCTTTAATTTCCCTCTTTTGGGATTCAAATCTGACCAGACTAAATAGAAACTTGAATTTTATGACTGTTTACTCTTTCTTTAGCTTTTAGTTATAACTGCGCCACAACTCCTCACTCCGCTAGTGGTCACTGATCTTTCCCTTAGACAGAAGTAGTCTTCCTATCAGTGGTCTCACATATTTCCTGTTCTCTCCTTTCAGTCAAGAGTTCAGCAAAACTGAAACTCCACTCTGGCACCCTCATATAGCCTGCCCATTTTCACCCTTACTCTGTCTCTAAATCCAGGCCTTAGGCTTGACAATGGTATGTCTGGGAATGTAGTTGTATCAAGTCTAGACCAATTTGGTGTCAACCCTGGGAAAATCACTATTATCAACTTCTCACTTTTCAAATATAAAACTAAAGTTACCCATGACATTTATAATTTTGTTATTGAACTTTTAAATAGTAAAGGCCGAATTTCTTATCACCATGAGTGGCTAAAATTCTGTCAAAGTCAATGCAGATACTTCACTTGCACCAATAGCGAACTTGATTGTCTAAAGGACTACTTATCACAACAAACTTCCTTTTCTGTTACACTTTGGGTAAATTACCATTTCAGTATGTATGGACAGGACAAGAGGAAACGGTCTCAAGTTGTGCCAGGGGAGGTTCAGGCTGGATATTAGGAAGAACTTCTTCACTGTAAGAGTCGTTAGGCATTGGAACAGGCTCCCCAGGGAGGTGGTGGACTCACCATTCCTGGAGGTGTTCAAAAAATGTTTAGATGTGGCACTTCAAGACATGGTTTAGTGGGTTTAGTGGGCATGGTGGCATCGGGTATACGGTTGGACTTGATGATCTTTGAGGTCTCTTCCAACCATAATGATTCTATGATTCTATGACTCTATGATATCAAGATTTAAGGATAAAAGTATCACTGCTATCATTTAACTATACCTAAAGATTATTTTCAATAACAATTTTACTGAAAGCAGTGTCTTTTAGCAGCTGAGATTTCCGCTCCTTTGGCTTCCTTTCTACTGGCATTTTCCTGCACTTTCTTTGCTACCGTATATTAGTATGACATACCAACATACTAAGAATCCACATGCAGGAGAATGGCTTCTTTGAGTGTTGCAGTCTCTCATCATCTCTCCCACCTGCTACAGCCAAGCTCTTGCACTCAGGTCTGCCAGCCCTCCAGAGTAACAAGTGTTTCAGTGAGAACCGGCTGCTTAACTTGAAGTGTAGTGTGATATATTTCCATGGCGAAGGTCTTCACTTTCCATCACATTACATAATTAATGTCAGCTGTGTAGTCTGGTGTTGCCTACCTTTGTGCAAGGTGTAAAGGTCAGTGACTGTAAAAAAACCTTCTGCTCTAAGCAAGCTGGTCTGCTGTAACTATATGGACTCCCCTTGGAACAGTACCAGCATAATGCAGAGACAGTTCTCATGAGAAGAGTGGATGAAAGGGAAACATTAAGAAGAAAGTGCAATCTCTAGGGTAGAAACTGTTACACCAATCCATTTACCAAACCTCAACATTAACAATGATTAAAAAGAGGATGATAGTAACCGACAGACAACAGAGCTCTTCTGAAAACATGAGCTGCTTGGCCTTAAAAGCAATGTGACACTTAGCACACAGAAGAAACGTCTCTCCCTGGAAAAGAACAGTTACTTAAATAGCCATATGGGCAGGAGATAAGATGAATAAAGACAAATTTCACAATCATCACTTCCCAGCGACAGGATGGGAGCAGTTTCCTGTTTGGTTTTTTCCTTTTTGTCTGCTTTTCTGAGAGGAGATTAATGTGTTAATCAAAATGAACTCTAAAAATGATATTACAGAGAGATATCTGAGCTTTGAAAATGGCTATAGTCCCTTTCTCTCCCAGGAAAGTTAGGGACTTTTGTTG